GTGTTATATTCTGTATTCATTGGTTTGCTTTCTTGATGGAATTTTTTTTTTTTTAAGATTTGGCAATCTTCAACATTTTGACATATTCAGTTGAACATATTATATGCGTACACATATATACTGTTTTTCTTGAATACAGGGATGATATCACAAAGTGTGGGACTAATGACAATTATATTAGGTTGAGGAAAGGAGGCTATATTGTGATGTAGATGGCATAATACAATGAAGATAATATTTATAACAATGTATATATACTAAATAATATGGCATTCATATAATCTTTATACTCTTTCCATATTAACTTCCACATCGAAGAAAACACATATTTGTCTTTCTGTGTCTAATTTATTTCACTTAGCATAATAATCTCCAGTTTTACTTATTTTGGTGCAAATGTCAGGATTTTATTCTTTGGTATGGTGGAGTAATATTTCACTTTTTATATACTCCACACTTTCTTTATCCAGTTATTATTGATTAAACATGTGCAATGATTCCATACTTTTTTGCCACATTGAATTGTGCTGCCAAAAACATGGGAGTACAGGTTTCTCTTTCATATGCTGATTTTGCTTCCTTTGGTTTACTCCCAGATGTGTGACAGCTGGGACATGTGGTAAATCCAGTTTTTAGTTTGGGGAGGGATCTCACTGTTTTTTTCCATAATTTGTACCAACAGTGTAATAGGACACCCTTTTCTCCACAACATTTCCAGCCTTTATTGTTTTGTTAATTTTTGGGTAACAGCCTTTCTAAGAGAAGATGATACTTCAAAGTGTTTCCCATTTGCATTTCCCTACTGGCTAGTAATCCAGAGCATTTTTTCTTGTGTCTATTGGTCATTTGTATTTCTTCCTTTGAAAAACATCTATTCACATCATTGGCCCATTTCTTAGCCAGAATGTATATTTTGTTGTTTTTTAGTTTCTTGGGCTATTTAAATATGCTAGATATTTATCCTTTATCATAGGCATAGTCTGAAAATATTTTCTCCCATGTTATCAGTTGTCTTTTCTTTTTGATATTTTTTTTTCCTTTGATTTTCAGAAATTTCTTAGCTTGATGCAATCCCATTTGTCTTTTTTTTTTTTTTTTCCATGCTTTTGGGATCTTATCCAAAGAGTCTTTGCCTATGCAAATGTCTTTCGGTGTTTCTCTTATGCTTTCTTCTAGTTGCTTAATAATTATGAATCTTAAGTTCAGATCCTTATCCATTGTGAGTTGATTTTTTTATGGGATGTATAGATAAGGGTCTTGTTTTTCTGCATGTGGAAATCCGATTTCCTAGCTAACATCATTTGTTGAATAGGTTATCCTTCCTGCAGGAATGTTTTTAGCATGTTTGTAAAATATTCGATGGGAAATATATGGATTTGTGGGATTTTTATTCTATTCCATTTTTGTCTATTTTTATGCCAGTACAATGCTGTTATAACTAACATAGCATTGCACTATGTCTTGAAATCTTATATTTGGATGCCTCCAGCTTTGCTTATATTCTTTACTATTACTTTGACTATTTGGGTTCTTTTATATTTACAGATTATTTTTAAAATTCATTTCTAGTTCTGTGAAGAATGTCCTTGGAATTTCGATGGGGATTGCATTGAATCTGTAAGTCACTTTAGAGAATGTATGGAAATTGGTAATCATATGATTGCTTCCATTTATAATGCTATATTTTTAATTTTTAGATTTAGCCTTCATTATTATTATAAAAACTATGACTTTTTGGTTTGTGATGGTATGCTACTTTATTATTTCACATTTGAGAATTTTTTATTTTGAGACTAGTTCACATTTTCATTCACATACTGTAATATAGCCATCTGTTCACTCTCTTGAACAAAAAGCAAGATATAAATTGACAACATTATCAAGTATCTATTAAACATGAAGCACTGGGTTATAACCTTCACATACATTTTTTTCCATACACTTTTAAATCAACACTTTAAAGCTAGCATTAAAATTTCTAGCCTAAAGGGGAGACAAGGATAAAATAATCTAATTAAAATGCTTAAATGTACATAACAAAACAGAGGAATCATTATTTGAATCAATATCTATTATCTTCAAAACCCAGTAATGCATAGAACTTGAAATCTTCAGAGAGAAGCAACAGGGACTATTTTGAATTCATTTAACTGAAATATTAGTAAAACAAACCCTATATTATCATGTTTATAATAGCATAAATGTGAGAAGTTGCCAGTACATTTTTCTTTTCCATGTGTTTAGGACTATATATATTGACTGTTCTTTACACCCAAAAACATTTACAAAACTAGGATTTTCATGCTCTAGTGCATCTAAAGTAAATATAGGAGGATTTTAGAATGACGAAATTAGGAACACCAACCTATAGATATTTACCCAATAATATCTTCTCTTTAGTGATTATTATACATTATACATTATTATACATTATATATATATACATCATGTGTATATATACATATATTTTCATATAGATATATATGAAAATTTGATTATGGTAAGTGATCAAGAACTTTCCTTTATGCCAGCCCTATCTTTACTTGCTGTTTAAGGTAAAACTTAAACTTATTTTCGTTTTGACTTTTGGGCATTTTGGCAGCACTTGATTTCTTGGTTCTTCCGCACATGGATTTTACAAAACAACATCTGGCCTACTTACTGCATTGTAGGATTTCCTACTGAGAACACAGTCGACCACTTCATTGCCCCCTTAAAACTGGCAATGACCATATGAGCATTGCCTGGCTCCCTGCTACTAAAATTTGCATGAGAAAATTAATATCTAGCTAGTCTAGGTAATTTGATGATTTTTAATGACTTCTACTAATTTCTCACCACAGAGAATAACTCTGTGCATAACAGCATTAGATAAAATATATTTTGTCACTGGTCTATTTATTTAATTGATGTTCCTAGTCTTTTTTTTTTTTTCTAGAATATGGCAGATGTGCCAATGAAATTGTTGGTGCTAGCAGGAAATAGCAAAAAAAATCTATTGATATGCCTTTATTTTTATACTTTATAGTTTTTAGAGAAAGAGGTAGTTTTTTATGTATAATGCTTGCATACAACGATGCTGGACCCCTGTGCTTTCTATCTGGCAGTTGATAACTTCATTTGGTTCCTGTGGACATTCAAAGTCCATTGATCTATCTCAGTATGGAGAGAAGATATAAACTGCCACAGGTTGTTGAGGCTCTAAAGGATCTAAAGGATCAGTGCAGGCAGCTGGGAAGAGAGAAAAGATGTCACCTGATTATATTAGTTATTCAAGGAAAGAAAGATCTAACTTTCCAACTTTCAATGGAATTTCTTTCAGAGATTAGATTTTTTGATAAGTGAATTATTTTGAAAAGGAATGTCCTATATTTATTTGTAATGCTTTTTTAACAGATACACCACAAAATATTTTAACCATGATTTATTTCTTTAAAAATATCACAGAAACATGTTTTGTGAAGAAATTTGCAGAACTAGGCACCAGGCAGTTTCTTTGAACTTTAATCTCATTACTTTGCATACTGTCCACATCAGCTTAACCGCCTAACCAAGTGGAAGAATTTCTTGTGAACTGTACAACAGTGACACAAAGTATTATCCATAAAGAAGGAGTACTTTGTTTTCATATTCTCCAGAATTAACATTTCCATCATCATCTTTGGATTTCTAGTACTAAAAGAAGCACTAAAAGAGAACATCTTTTGTAATCATAAAAATGTGATTTCAGCAGAGGTAAACCTGATTCTCTTTATGACCATAACTAAATGTACAATTTAAATAAAGCACTAAACACTGTTGCTAGCTTATGAAAGCTTACATATTATATATTTCTTTCATAATGTAGTTGTAATTTTATATTCCTGTTAATAAAGTTTATAGGGGTATTTCAAAAGATGCATGGAAAAATTTATTTAATAGATTAAAATTATTTCAATGGAAAAACTTTTGAGATACACAGAGAGTCTTCTCTGTGTATGTATGAAATATTAGATCTCATTTGGGTAGCAAAAACCAATAATGCATTTTTCATAGATTTCTTGAAGACCTCTTCTAAATAAATTTCTAGTGTGGAAAACACCTGGGTTGACATTTATTTCATGATTGTATTTTTTTAAAAAAATTATTTATTTACTTGAAAGTCAGAGTTACACAGAGAGAGAAGGAGAGGCAGAGAGAGAGAGGTCTTCCACCCATTGGTTCACTCCCCAGTTGACAGCAACAGCCAAAGCTGCATCAATCCTCAGCCAGGAGCCAGGAGCTTCTCTGGGTCTACCACATGGATGCAGGGGCCCAAGGAGTTGGGCCATCTTCTACTGCTTCCCCAGGCCATAGCAGAGAGCTGGATTGTAAGTGGAGCAGCTGGGACTCGAACTGGCACCCATATGGGATGCTGGCATTGCAGGTAGTGACTTTAAACACTGAGCCACAGCGCTGGCCCCTCATGCTTGCATTTTTAAAGCACGTGGTTAGTGTATTAAAATATTGCTTCATTGGAAATATCTGCCCCTGTGAATCACTGGGACTACACCCAATATCCAGCATTTATTTCATAGAGATTATTGAACAAAGCAAATGATGTGGGCTGATATGCAGCTACTTGGGTCTATAGATCCAGATAGGCCAGCAGCTAATGAATTTGCAGGGAAGGAGGTTACAAACCACTGCTCCCCATCCCATGTGTGTAGCCAACTTGTCAATCAAACATATCTTCCTTCCTGTTGCAGTGGATTTGTTATGAAAGGAGGAGCATGGTGGGGGCAAGAGGCACCAAGTCACCACACAGACCCCAGGAGTTGGGTGAAAGCAGGCCAGAGGCGAGCAGCCCACAGACTCGTTTATTTCAGTTGGTACAACAGCTTATATAGCCAAGGCAGCCAATCTGGTCAAGGGGCGGTCTATGCCCTAACCAATCACAGCCTGTTGCCAGGCAGGCAGTGTTGCCAGGTGGGTTTCAAAGCCATTCCTGAGTAACTGACGCTTGCTTGCCAGCGGCCATCTTGGTATGGCCTTCTCATTCCTCCACACCTTCCCATAACATCTCTGCTGAATCCAAGACCTGCTTGTGGAGTAGATAAAGGAGGTTGAAGACAGGAGAGTGTCCCTCTTTTTGCTACAGACTTCGCTTAGAAGTTTTGTGCCCACTATTTCTGCACCTGAATTGTTGGTAATTGAACAGACCATTTTCCATTTTTCTACCTTCCTATTTTCATACATTTCTCCCATCACAAGTACTAATTTTAGTTTCCCTTTCTTCCTTAGCTAACGGACAACTCTTTAGCCCATTCATGCTGGGTATTTTTCTGTGTAGGGTGGTCCACAATCACATGTGAATGTGGGACATCCTTCTCTTATAGGAAGTAGGGCCTGCCTTTCTAGGAACAGTGGGCCAGTGTTAGTTATGTTTGAGGGGTAGTAGCCTATTTAGAGTTTAATTGGAGCTTGATAGCCATTGCAACCTTTCTGCTCTGGGACAACTAGTAGATGTGAGAAAGGCAAGCTTAATATGCAGCTGGGTTTGGTTTCTGGTATATGAATGTGGTTTTTGCTAGCCAAATGAGATCTATTATTTCATACATAGTGAAGCCCCTCCCTCACTGCAGGTGTCAGCTTTAAAAAATATGAATGCTGGAATTTTTCAGCTCTAATGTCCAAATATGCTTGGATTCTGATACCACTCTGGAGCATAGACTCCCAATGTGGGATTCAAGGCCTCTAGGGGTTGAATATCCTTGGAATGGTGATATAAGAACTGGAGAAATTTCAGGATATGGAACCTCATGATACACTCGTGTTTTTGCTTGCTGGCTTTTAATCACCCAAGAACTTAGCCTCCAAGTGTGAGGTATGGTACCCCCTAGAAGCTGGCCTCTAGTTGCCATGGTGACAGTCCCCCTGCTCATTTGGAACACTGGGAAATACCCCAATCATACATGTGACTGTGTCCTCTGATGTAATGACATCTTAGCAACAGTGACAGTGTCCATTTGTGGCCAATCACCCTAGATGTGGTGGTTGGGAAATTACAAGAAGCTTTGGCTATTGGATAATACCTTGCAACTAGATCAAGCTACAGGGAAGCCCAAGTGAGATGGAACAGGAAACCCTTCCTTGGGATGCAAAAGGAAATTCTACGGTGTCGAATTATATTTAATACAAGGGATTTAAAGCATAATTGGACTCATGCAGAACACTTTCTACCTGTTGTATTCCCAGGGTATGGAGAGACTCAGCTATGTGTAAACCTACATGCGTTCCCATAGACACTCCCTAGGATGCATTCTTAATACTTAGGAAGCTCTTAAACTGAATGGTAATGATTGAGAAGAATCTGATTTTCTTCAGTAATACTATTTGGCCAAAGATAAGCTGCAAAATGGAGAAACATGGCCCATGAAAAGGAATTTTAATTCTAATGCTATTTCAGAACTTGAACTCCATTGTAGAGAGCAACAAAAGTGGTCATAAGTTATGTGTGTATGGGTCTTTATAGCATAATATCAATATTTTAATCAAAAGAATGACAGGTTATATTATTTCCCTACTACCTCAAAGACAAGGAAATGATTAGTAGACATAGTTGATGATCATTTACTATCTGATCCTCAGGTATCCCAAGCTCAACAAATCCCAATACCAACATCATCTACAAAGAACACCATATCCTCTCCTGTAGCTTCAAAACCTGACTCTTTTATCTTCAGTCAGTTCCAGAACTACAACTCTTAACCCTTCCTGAACACTTGTACAAAAGGGTGACACAACTGGAATTACTCACACTGGCGCTCCCTTCCCAGCCAAAAGTGGTTATGCTCTGTTCTCTGGGAGAAGTGGCAAATGGAGCTGGGACAATTAGAGTAAGTATCTCTTTCACTATATCTGACTTAAATCAATGTAAGCAGAAGCTAGGAAGGTTTTTAGAGGACCCTATTGGATTTACTTAAGTTTCAAACCCTGGGACCGGCATTGTGGTGAAACAGATAAAGTCTTGTGATGCTGGCTTCACTTATGAGCACTGGTTCAAGTCTTGGTTGCTCCACTTCCAATTCAGCTCCCTGCTAATGTGCCCAGAGAAGTGGCAGTGAAAACAACCCAGGTGCCTGGGACCCTGCAGCCACTTGGGAGACCTGAAGGAAGCTCCTGGTTCCTGGCATCAGCATGGCCCACTCCCAGTTGATGCAGCCCTTTGGGTAGTGAACCATTGGATGGAGTATCCATCTTTCTCTCCTACCACTCTGTAACTCGACCTTTCAACAAGTAAAAATAATAAATGTTTTTAAAAAGTATTGGGCCCTAAACTTAGTTTTTTACTTAACTTGGACTGACTTGTATTCTGTTTTATCTACTTGTAGCTATGAAGGAAAACAGTATATCTGAACTGAGGCTTAGACCGTGCTGACACTTGGGCAGTTTCGATATCCTGTGGGCTTTGTAATAGGACTGTCAGAAGTCTTAACAGCAGCACCTGACTGGAATTATCAGAAGGGACATGAAGATCTGCAGTTATGAGACCATATGTTTTCATGCCTACTGGCAGCGATGAATAAATGTGCTATCAAATCTGTAAATCATATAAAATTATATAAGAGAAATATCACAGAATAGGGACAAAGAAGCCTTGTTCTAGGGATGGCTGATAAATGCAGTAAGGAAATATGTTAATCTATATCTTGAATCCCTTGGAGGACAGATTTTTCTTGATTCTCATTTAATCAGTGACTGATATGAGAAGAATGCTCCAGAAACTGGCCATGAGATCTCAGGAAATAAACACCACATGCCAAGTAACCTGGGTGATTATTGATGTTGTAGTAAGAGTATTAACTACTTAATTGACACAGGAGCTGTTTATTCTTTGCTAGCTTTTCATGCGGGGCATTATCCACAAGGAATTATATTATTATGAGAGTTGAAGGCAAAACTCTTTCTAGAAAATTTACTTTACCATTAGTTCCTCATACTGAAGAGAAATTTCTTAAAGTTTCTCAAACATGGACTCATGGCTCCATGTCAGTCTCCCTTTAATACTCTTCTACCTATTTTGAAACTAAATTGGCAATATAAAATGGTTCAGGACCTTAGGGCTATTAATGGGGCATTCATTCAAATTCATCCTTCTGTGACAAACGTTTACACTATATCTACACAGACACCTGAAGGCACTTAAGGGTGCACAGTCCTGGACGTCAAGGATACCTTCTTCTGCATCCTGTCAAACTCAGAAGTCCAGTTTTTAATTTGCTTTTAAATGGATTGATGCATCTTCAAATAACAAAGTAATACAAATGGACATGCCTCTGTCAAGATTTCAGAGATACCCCTCATTTTTAGAAATGCCTTTTTTAAAGGAGCTCACAGAGCTCTAACGAATGGAACAATTCTACAATATATAAACGGTATTCTTATTTTAGCAGATCCAAGGAGGACTCAGATGAAAATGCCCCCCTGGTCTTAAACATTTTGGAAAAAACAGCACAGAGAGTTTCCTCAATCAAAGCTCAGACTTCCAAACAGGAGGTAAACACTTCGAATATATTCTGACCACAGAGAAGTGGAAGTGCAGAAGAGAGAGGAGGCTACATTATGTATAGGGTCATCACAGACAAAGAAACTGCTAAGGACATTCCTAGGAATGGCAAGATTTTGTAAAATATGGATTCTTAGATTTATGTTGATAGCCAAACCTTTTTGTGAGGCCTTACGTGGTCCTAAAAGAGAACCACTTGGAGATAAGAGCAATAAGAAAACATCCAAATGATTAAAAAACTAACAGATGTTCCAAACCTAAGAATCCCTAACTTAGTCAAGTCATGCATTCTGTGGCAGAGAGCCAACTCAGATATCAGGCCCACTCCCACCACCAGTGTCCTACTTTTCTAAACAGCCAGATACAGTGGCTGGAGGATGTTCTGCACGCTTAAGGCCAGCTGTTGTCATAGCACATTTTGTGGAGGAAACCACCAAGCTGACTTTGGGCCAGTCACTTAAAGGTCAAACTCTACACCAGGTGCAAGGAACCCTAGAATTTAATGGACACCAGTAGGTAACAGGAGGATTTCTTACAAAACATCAGACGGTTGGATTCACCTGAGGTAACATTCAAAGTACGCCCACTCCTCAAATCCTCACTCTGGCAATTCTATTGCTATCTCAAAGCACTGAAGAGCTAACTCACTCCTCTACAGAGACTACAGAGCAGGCATATTCTAGAAAATCTAGATGTTGAGGGATTTACTGATGGTAGTGTCTTTATGAAGGAAGGAGTTAGAAAGGCAGGATACACCAAAGTGGATAATACCCAGGTGATAAAAGTCCAGGCATTGCCATCTAACACTTCAGCTCAAAAGGCTAAACTTATTCCTTTGACTACAGCCTTGCAATTAGGAAAAGTCCAGCAAGTTAGTATTTATAGACTCCAAACACGCTTTCCTTTTGTTGCATACATATGCAATGATTTAGAAAGAATAAGGACTACTATTGCCTATAAATATTTCCATTAAATATAGAAAAGTGATATTAACATTTCTGACAGTACTAAAATATTTAGGAGTTGTGGTCATTCACTGCAGGGACATAAGAAGCAACATTGTCCTATTAGCAAAGGAAATGGTAACTTCAGGAAAGCAAGGGGCAGGCATTGTGGTGCCATAGGTAAAGCTGCCTCCTGCGATGCCTTCAACTCAAAAGGGCTCCAGATCGAGTCCTGGCTGCTCCACTTCTGATCCAACTCCCTACTAATGGCCTGGGGAAGCGGCAAAGGATTGCCAAAGTGCTTGGTCTTCTGCCACCCATGTGGGAGGCCCAGAGGAATCTCCTGGCTCCTAGCTTAGGCTTGGCTTAGCCCTGGATATTGAGGCTTTCTGGGATGTGAACCAGTAGATGGAAGATCTGTGTGAGTGTGTGTCTGTGCGTGTGTGTCTGTGTCTTTCAGTATATATAATATATATAATATATGTCATATATAATATCATATATATGATATGTATTTATTTGCCACCTTTTCTTTTTTAAAGTTCTATGTATTATATATAATACTTAAATATATTATATATAATATTATATGGTATATTATATATTACATATTAATATGTAATATTTAATAAATGCATTGAATATATATTTTGTATATTAAATATGTTATAATATATAATATAGTATATAACTATGTATAATATTTAAAACTTTATAAAAGAAAAGGTAACAAAAAGAACTTCCACATAGGAGATTCTAGAAAGGACTTTAATACCTCAGCCATAAAGGTAACTAAGAATTCTCACTATATGAAGACTGAAGCAGAATGAATTCAACGGTGAGGTTACACTAAAGATGTCGATTAGCACTGAACTTTAGATCATAAGGCCGTGCACTCAATGGGCTGTTAATGAAAAATTATTAAAGAAATGAGTGACTACCCATCTGGGAAGAGAAGCCCTGACGCAGATTGTTTCTCGTGTTTTTGGAGTGACAGGAGTGCATACCATTATAAGGGAAATACTTTCTTTGCAGAATAACCCTGGCGGTCACATCAAACCATCTCCTTTGCTCAGTATGGTGCAAAGGTGAAGCATGTATCCAGATGAGAACTCATAGATAGGCTTTACCAGCATGACTTAAGCATGAAAAGCGCAACCATATTCTAATGAAAATTCTGGCCAAGCTTAGCCAACAGATTTCAAACATGGCTTAAACTATTACATACTGCCCTTTGCTCAGTATGGTGCAAAGGTGAAGCATGTATCCAGATGAGAACTCGTAGATAGGCTTTACCAGCATGACTTAAGCATGAAAAGCGCAACCATATTCTAATGAAAATTCTGGCCAAGCTTAGCCAACAGATTTCAAACATGGCTTAAACTATTACATACTGCCCTCCTAAGGATGAGAATGACACCCAAGTCTTCCTTAAAGTGCAGTCCCCTTGAAATGCTATATGGAAGCCCCTCCCCAACTCTGACATCCTCTTTCATTCAGAAACACAAGATCAGATAAATTATATTATCAGTCTTTGTCAGGTACAAAAGGCTCTGATGGAGTATGTTAACAAAATTCTCCAAGAGTCAGATCCTAAAAAGACATCAATAGTTGGTCTCCCCAGAAGTCATAGTTTTATTAAAGACTTGGAAGGAAGGATCCCTTTTCTGACCAATTGCAGCCTAAATGGAAGAAATTTTACCAGATGGCGCTTAATATTCCTACCACAGTTTAAGCTGGAGGGCATTCCAAGCTGTGTACATTTGCCAAGTATTGAACTTCTACCTTTGCATCCTCACAGGTGCTTGAGGATGACAAGTCTACCTACTCTTGTAAACAAATTGAAAACCTTAAATATGTTTTCAAGAGGCATAAATATTAGTGAAGTCTTTGATTTTGTAATGTCAAGGCTGTTGCATTACATGGATTAATTTGTTGCCTACCTCTTCTTCAGATTCAGAGAGCTGATACTGAGTTTGTCTACCATCATAGTAGAAGATCCTGATTTACTTCATGATACCATTTTCAAAAATCTGACTTTTGCTTGGGGCAATCCAGTCTACACTTTAGACTAGTTTTTACAGCAAGCACTCAAGTCTGTGGATGCTCTATGTAAGGTAGTCATGGACAATTGACTGGTCATGGAATATGTACTGATGGAAAAAGAAGTGCAGTGACTAATAAAATCTATCACATCTGCTCTAGCAGTGCATTCGCTGAAAAAGATATTACAAGTCTTTATGCTCAGGCTAGATGTTTTTGTAATCTGACAGAGATAATCTAATAGTGTCTACTATTTGGGAATTAAAGGGGATTTTATCAGTTTTCTTTTTCCAATTATGCTCATCCTGATTGATAACTTTGTCTGTTTCTGAATTAGACAGTTCCGCAGTGTAAAGATGGCCATGCAAGGGCCAGAGCCATTGGCAGTGACTGATAAAAATCCTCAGGTTGTGAAACATACCCAGCAGATGAGATAAAAATTTCCAAAACCATAGTAGACAGGGACCGAGCCCACATGATGAACAGGAAATAGACACAGAAATTGAACTTCATCTCTCAGCACTTCCTTAATATTAAGGGTCAGAAATCTCTGAGGGGGAGTAATGTGGGATAATAGGGAGCTAGTTAGGACTAAAGAGCGAAACAAGTTGAGTCTGCAGAGCCTGATTGCAAACTGCTGCCCCTCCATTCCAGGTACTTATCTGCACTTGTCAATCAAAGACATCTGCCTTCCTATGATGCATCTGCTGCAACAAAGACTTGAACGTAGGAGACAAAAGGAGGTGGAAAACAGGAAAATGCCCTCTTTCCACTGTGGACCTCACTTGGAGCAGCTGGGACAGTCTTTTCTGTACTCAGCTTTACGGTGCTCAAGCAGAATCTTTCCACTCTCCAACCTTCCTGGTCTTGGACATGCCTTCCCCATCAGAGGTACCATTTTAGGTTTCTCTTTCCTCCATAGTTTATAGGCAAGTTTTTAGCCAATTCGCGTTGTGTATTTCTCTGTGTACGGCAACCCACACTCACATGGGAATGTGTGTTTATTCCTCCACTGCCTAATAAACTGCTCTTTTTTGCACACAATGCTAGTATCCACTTAATAATTGTATCTATGTGGGAGACAAGAGCTTAGATTTGTGAATTCATTTTCCACATCACAGTAACTCATGTTGCTAAAACCCCAAATCGTGACTACACATGGAATTTGCTGGTTGGTGGCAAAGAAAGAAAGGTTTTCATCAAAACATATCCCATAATTTTACTTCATAAAGAAAAGAATTAAACCCATAAAAAGTAAAGTCCTCTGAGACTTAGGAATGAAGCACAAATAGGAAAAAGAAAATTCTAGGGGAATTCTGCCTAGCAAGCTTGAATTATCCAGGTAATAGAATATGTGCATATATAATACATGGATATGTATCTTGTTCTTAGGCTAAATGCAAAATCAGATATTCAATTTATACAAGGGTTATGTGTTTAAGGGAAAAGCGAAGACAAGGATTCATACACAGCAAAGTACAAATCTCAGATGAATTCTGACTAGTTTTCCATTTGGATAAATTTTGACGTGTTCTTTTTATAATTAATTTAATTCTATTTTTTAAATTTTGTTTTTATTTTTCAAAAAAATTAATCCTCTCTATATACATAAGCCTAATTCTCTACTAATTATTATGTTCAACTAGTAAAAAGTAGGAAAACCACAGTTCCAGAGGAGTATAAACATGAGCTAAAAATGAAAATCATATCCTAAAGTGACCATTTCGAACCTACACATATTCATATTCTAAATTAGCTGCCACACATCAGAGAAAACATATGATAGTTGTCACATAATGGTTTCCAGTTATATCTGTTTTGCTGCAAAACAGGATTTTATTTTTTTTGATGGCTGAGTGGTATTAAATTGTGTATATGTATACATACATACACACATATATAAATGTATATGTATGTGTGTGTGTGTGTGTGTATATATATATATATATATATATATACTATGTTTTCTTTATCCAGTCACCTGTTGATGGACATCTGAGTTGATTCCATAGCTTAGCTATTTTGAGTTGAGCTTCAGAAATGTGGGGGTACAAATAACCCTTTCATGTTGTTTTCATCAAGCAGGCAAGATACTCGTTAAGATGCCTACATAACATATGGAAGGATCTGGATTCGCAATGTGGCTCTGGCTCTGGCTCCCAATTCCAGGTGTTTGGCAATGCAAACCTTGAGAGGCAGCAGGTGGTGTCTCATTACCTGGATCTCAGTGATCTGCCTAGGAAACCTGTTTTGAATTCTGAGCTCCTGGCATTAGCCCTGGTTCATTCCAAGCCGCAGTGAGCGGTAGAGCTGTGAACAAAAAGATGGCATTTCTCTGTCTTCCTGCCTTAAGAATGAATACATACACATACACACACATATATATATATATATATATATAATTTTTTTGACAGAGTGGACAGTGAGAGAGAGAGAGAGACAGAGAGAGAGGTCTTCCTTTGCTGTTGGTTCGCCCTCGAATGGCCAACGCGGCCAGTGCGCTGTGGCCAGTGCACCTCACTGATCCGAAGCCAGGAGCCAGGTGCTTCTCCTGGTCTCCCAAGGGGCGCAGGGCCCAAGCACTTGGGCCATCCTCCACTGCCTTCCCGGGCCACAGCAGAGAGCTGGCCTGGGAGAGGGGCAACCGGGACAGAATCCGGTGCCCCGACCAGGACTAGAACCCGGTGTGCTGGCGCCACAGAGGCAGAGGATTAGCCTATTGAGGTACAGCACTGGCCAAATACATATATATTTTTTAATTTAAAATTTCCTTGGTCTCAGTTTCTTTTATCTTTTCATTGATAAAAATGACACTGTATATACACACATGCATACAAATAGATATATATATATATACACACACACAAAATCAGAATTTTGAGGTTTATATTTAAAATTTAATTCTATATAAATAGTAAATATTAAAATGATATTATGTTCCAGTAACTGAGAATGTTTTACACAAATTATCATCTGAAACAAAGACTACAGTAAGAATGGTTAGGGCCCTGCCACTCAAGCAAAGAGGAAATGTTACTGGACAGAAGGCCATGAAAGCCGTGGGGTTCTTGTCTTCACGCAAGAACGAATAAAGGCTATGAAAGCCGTGGGGTTCTTGTCTTCACGCAAGAACAAATTCAGGCATGAGGCAGAAAGCAGAGTGATAAGGCTTTACTGGGGATAGGGCTTGGTCTGGGGGAGAGCGTGGTCTCATGGTTGAGTGGAGAGAATACATCTGGGGAGGGCAGGCAGATGGCTCAGCTGAGAGGCAGAGAGCTGAGAGCCCAGTCTGTTTGGACTGGGTTTTTAAGGGAGTCTGTTTACCCACCTTCCCCTCCCCTCCAGGACGAAGGATGGAGAGTCCTGGAGGAAGGGTTTGTTGGGTGAAAATTAGAAAATTCCTCCCCAGGTTTGCTGATGCCCTGGCAGAGTAGGCGGGCTTCCCTTAGGGCATCTGAGAAGGTTTTATTGTCCCATGTTATCAGGTCAGGTAACCCATTTGGTCCAGAGGAGAGAACTCTCCTGGGAGCTTTCCTTGGGGGAGGAGCTGGGACCACCTGGGAGGTTATCAGGGTCTGAGCAGGACTTTGAAGTGCCAGATGCTGGGCTTCTGGAGCTTCTGCAGTAGGAGCTGGTCTTCAGGTAAGACAAAGAATGGAGGTAACAATAATTTCTCCAACATAACATTGTTATGTTTCCCATAACAATAGGGGCCCAAGCACTCAGACCATCTTCTGCTAGAAGCTGAACTGGAAGTGCAGTGACCAGACTCAAAATGACACTCACACAGGACGCTGGCATCACAGGCTGCAGCTTAACATGCTGTGCCACAAAGCTGGTCCCTCACAAACATATTTAATGGACTTGTTACCAGAGAAGCAAAAAGTCCTTGTCTTCCCGCAAGAAAGAATTCAGGCATGAGACAGAGAGCAGGGGAAAGCAACATAGCAAGGTTTATGAGGGTAGGGACATCTGTAAGAATGGTTGGGCACCTCTCCAGGCAGGACTTGAGAGAGTCCCTAGTTTACATTTAGGTTGGGGTTTTTAAGGGGATGGATCTTGCCTTCCCTCCCTCTCTCCTTCTTCTCCTCCGAGGACAAAGGACTTGTTCGATGTAAATACAAAAAATTTCCTTTCTGAGTTTTGCCTCTGAAGCTATCAAACAGGGAACACCTGGCTAGCATTGTCCTGCCTTAGAGGAAGGATGGTTATTGGGTAGAAGGGGCAGGACCCCCTGGAAGGTCATCAGGATCCAGGCGGGACCTTGAAGTGTGAGATGCTGGTCTTCTGGAGCTTCAGCAGTGGGTGCTGGTCTTCAGGCCTTTCTCATACAAACATAGGCTCAATTCCTGACTTCCTACCTAACAGACTCAGTTTAGTAAGTACGCAGGGTAGTCATTTTAAATATTGACTTAATTTTGATGATAGAAATAATAGTTATCTGAGAGACTAACAATTTCCTTCCTTGCTTCATAATTCCATATCTAGTAACAACACAACACACATCCTAACACAAAATGTTTTTCAACTATGAATATACAGTGCATATAGTTTTATGTGCCCATGAATAATTTGTCAGCAGATGTGGACTCTTTGTTGTGACCAGAGCTCATGCCAGAATATTCTTTGCCCATTATCAAATCTTATGCAGTTTTTTAAATAAAAAAATTCCAATGCACTGCATCATGCCTCCTCTTCTATCAGTGCTTATAACTGGAAACTGACTTGCAGTTAGAGAAAGTGTATATTGAATAATTTCCTTAATTGAAAAGTTTATTTCATTGTTATAATTTTCTGCTTATTGCTAGAACCAGAGAATAATAAATGCTTGATTACTTGTTCATATATAGCTATAAGTATTGTGTTTTTCTAGAAAATAGGACTATTGATTTGTATAGTACATTTTATAAAAAATTTGATATATCCAGTTCATTACCTGGAGAGTATATTTCCATATATAACACTTATCGCATAATCTTTCTTCTGTCCTACGTACTTCAATTATCATTCCTCCCTTCTTATTGCTCAGCATGTACTGCTGGAATTACTAGCCCGTGAAATGTTCTTTTTCCTATAACTCAGTCTCTGACATTTTCAAATCTTCCTTGTGAGAGATATCAAAAAGGAGCACTTCATTTCTTTATACAATAAACACGATGTATGGTCTTAAATGCCACCTACTTTGCTAATTAAAATGCAATAAGAATGCATAAGGTAGAGGTAATACCCCAGTTTATCTTGGAGATATTCATGGGTTTTAAATTTTATGCTTTTAAAATTGTACTATTATCTGTTTATTCAAATATACCCAAATGTATTGACTCTTGCACAAAACAATAGAGGTGGAAAAAAGAAGTTTAGTGTTTATTGTGGAACTCTGCCACAGTGATTTGAATTTGTGATTATAATTCATTAAAAGAAAGGGGTTCCTGTTTCTTACTAAATTAGTTTTCATTTTATTTCAATTGGACAATAACAGTTTAATCCTTAAAATACTAGTTCACAATTGCTGCATGTTAGAAACTAAATAATCTCAAATGCCCAGAAATATCATCTGAAAATATTAATAGTCATGTTTGCATAGAAACATTATGAAACTGTCCATAAACAATTGTGTATATTAAATAATTAAGTCATGGCTGAGCTGCTGGTGCAAAGTCATCAATCAGGATGTCAGCATTCCGTGTCAGAGTGCATGACTGTTAACCCCAGCTACTTTGCTTCCAATTCAGCTTCCTGCTAGCACACATTCTGGGAGGCAGAAGTGATAGTTCAAGTACTTTGTCCCTGCACCCAAATGAGATACTCGTATTGAGTTCTGGGCACCTGACACTGGTCTAGCTCAACCTGATTGCTGTGGGTAGTTGGGGAGTAAATCCATGGATGTGATG